GGTTGCGGTGAATACCATCACTTATTATCTTTTACCTTCTTGGAATTACTTAAAATACTTAGTCTCTTTAATAGTTTTAAGTAAAATAAAAATAATTATTAAAACATCAAATAACAGCATAACTTAAATGCTCATTTCTAACAACCTTTTATTATAAAATAGTCGAATTTATCACTCTAAAGATTTGACTCAAAAATTCTTAAATAAAATGATTTTCTATAATGCTTTGCATTAGCATGAATTTATTACGAATTATTATAATATTATTTTGATAATTAAAGCAAATATTCCAAAAAATTTTTTATTTTCCATTCTCAAATTCATCATAATAAAATAGAAACCTCACAAGAAATGATCCATTACTGTTAACCGCTTTAGAAGATATTCAATCAGCTGACTATTAAGGATTCCATATAATTTTAACAATTCAAAATTTTACAAAATTCTAATCTAGATGAATATTATCAAATTTTGGTTGAATAATGAAGAGTGTGATGATGGAAACATATTCTCTTTGGATGGATGTTCGCAAAATTGTTAAATTGTGACTAATGGAAATAATCCAATTCTCTAATTACAATATATCAATATGACCTTGAATAAGTAATTTATTTTAATGACATCTTCTCAACTTTTTTAATTAAAAGATAGAAGTGAAAACTTAACATCAAGCTTTTAAACCAAAATGACACAATAAATTTAGAAAGTTACCATGAGCCAATTTTTGAAGAACTAAAAGATATTTAATATTTGTTTACTATTAAACTACTTGATTAACTGGAGGTAGATCTAATTATTTAGTTACCTACAACATTTCTGTAGTTAAAAATTATGATTTAAAATTACGGACAAATAACTTTAATTAAAATTGAAAATCCAATAGTGTTAAATGAACAATAGAAATAAGTTTCTTCAAAACCTAGTAAATTAAACTAAGTGATACTTTTTGGTGTATCAAGCTTTATTATATTATTGTCAGGTAACCCTACAGATTGCATTGAGGTTTTAGATGCTTTGTAATATTAATCCTACATAAGATTTATTAATGTTGCTTTTCCAGAAAACGTTACAATTTATATTGAATCTGCTGAAATAATTTCAATTCAACCTTTTTAAATACATTTATTTTAGTTATAATAGATGATTTATTTCGCAAACATTATTATATAGTCACAGAGCGTAATATTTAATTTGAAGAACTATTTTAAGATTCATCATTTTGACTTACGAGTTGAGGTTTTTTCCATTAAATGAAAATTTTAGATGGGTATATGTTGAAATTGAAAAATGATTATCTTAGAAGACTATAATTTGAAAATAACATTATCTTGATAATTTTTTTGATAAATATAATTGCGCATCTTTTATTTTAATTTCAAAATAAATAGATAAAACAAATTAATAATCAATATAAATGATAGAATTAAATGTTATTATGATAATGGCAAATAAAAGAATGATGTGATTTATAATATAATAATTAAATTAATTAAAAGTATGAATATCTTGTATTAAAAATAAGCACAGGAAACATAAGAAACAAGTTGCAAAATTCATAATCTAGAATTGATTGCAGTTGATTTGGATTTATCAGATAAGGCACAAATTTAATTCTTCTGTGGTAAATGTTTAGTTGAGAAATTTAATAATAATAAGGTGACTACTATAGAGTAATCCAAAGAGAGAATCTAATCAATAAAGTCATAATAAAAAGATATCAAAGCTAAAAAGAATTAAGCAAGACTCAATTATTATAAAATTATTTTAGAACAAATTATGTATTTTAAATAATCAATTGATGATTCCTTGGAGAAGATGCATAAATAAATATAATAATATATGTTTCCAATTTAAAAAGAAAAATAAGAATTATAAGAATTTGAATCATAATTAAATTATTTTGAAGATCTAAAGTAGTTATCTGAATTGTATTCTTAAGAATAATAGTAATCACCGAAATTAATAGAAGATAATCATTTTATTAATGAAATATAAAAACAATTTGAACTCTTATTCAATAGTTCTGAATACTTTTAGACTGTATACACATTTAAGAATACAAAAGAAAAAATTAAAGATATTATGGAAAATAATGTAATCGAAATGGTTCTTTCAAATATAAACAAAAATGATTCTGTAAATATAATATTTATTATAAATAGAAAACACCAAGTTTAAGTAGAATTTGTAGTAATCATAAAAAGGAAATAATTATGATTGATATGGATTCATAAAAATAAAAAATAGAAGACAGATTTGCTTGTGTGGATTGCATTTATGAAAATCCACAAATTAAATATCAAACTATCGAAAATATAGATAAGTAATGGAAGGAGTACAATACTGGAACTGAAAAGATATTAAAAGAATATAAAAAGGAAAGCAAAGAAACAAAATAAGAATTACTCAACCAATTAGGACAAATGAGAAGGAATTACAATACAAAATTGAATGAAATAAGTGAAAAATTGATTGCTGAGTAATTCTTAAGCATTGATAAAACTAAACAATCCAAGAAAATAAAAAATATTTCAATTAAAACATTAGATGATGAATAATTGTAGAAGGATTTAGAGTAATTAATAGAAAAGGAAAAAGAAAACTTATCATAAAGTCAAATACTTAAAGACTTAAAAAATAAAGATTAAATTTTCAAAAAAGACCTGTAATATTATTTAGAATGTTTGCAATAATATGATTAATAAGATATTTAATAATCATTGGAAATATTGAAAGAAGTTTCAAGTATCAAAATTATTATTTTTTCTAGTTGAAAAAGATTTAAGTATTTAATTAACTGATATGATTAAAGATATTTAAAAATATGCATAAAAGGATGAAAACTACAAAAATCAAATTAATTTTATCAAAGAAATTTAAGAATTGATTGATTAAGCAAAAAAATATCAATGCCAATTAAATATATTTGATTAAATGATTCTGGTTTATTAACAGTAAGTCTAGAAGATTGAATCCATTCAATAAAGTACATCAATTAAATCATAAGATTAAGCAGTGAAATCAGAATAATAAATATCTTAATATTAAAAATTATAAAATATATTGAATGAATATGTGAATACTTTGGAAATAATAGTATATAATTGAAAAAATATTGGATGGGTAAATAATTGGAGAATGATATAGTAAAATTAAAAGA